TCACTTGTGAGTAGGCCAAGCCAGATTTCCCCACCTTAAAACAAGTAATTTAAAGTTTGATAGCAGGTGGGGAAGGGAGATGAAAAGCAAGTTGAACAGGTAACTTAACACCATGTTGAAGAAATGAAGTATGAAGAACATATGTAAAGAACTGCTCTCCACTGGCTCTGTTGGTTATATAGTCTGCAGTAAAACCGGCTTTGATTAAGTTGAGGAACAGGCAAACTCTCTAGTTCCTCAATCTTAAAATGGATTACTTTTTAGTGACTGAAACATATAGCTATTCTTTCAGACCTTTCCTTTTTGGGGTTAGGATGATATAATCAGTAGCTACAGAGAGGCTATACATTTCATAGGAACCATATTGTGTCCTGAAAGATGCTCTGAAGGATAGCAGAAGAGGGCGATAATTTAGAAGTTCTATAAACCCTCAGGCCTAATTTTAAAATGATACTGATAAGGCAAATTGGGTTGCCATCCACCTGATAGGGGCAGGTTTTGGGGGCTCCAATCCACCGCCGGGTGGCTGGCTAGGGAGCCCTGGCCCCGAAGAGCCCACCATGCCTGATGTGGCCGGTGTGATAATGTCACCCGGAGGTGACATCATCGTGCTGGGGACGCTCTAGCATTTGACTATCGAGTTTTTGGTCAAATGCTAGAATGTCTCCTGCACAACATGCCCAGTGCAATGATGTCACTTCTGGGTGATGTCATTGCAGTGCATGCACTTTGCCTTAGAACCTGCACCCTCATTGCTGTAGCCCGTAGATGTTCTAGAATATGTTGATAGTGGAATAAAGCTTTATTTTGTTTAAGAGACAGAGACTGTCTTGATTCCTACCTTTGGGCCTTTCTGTGCCCATGTTACCAAACAATCCCATTTGATGGCCCTCCTGACATCAAATTGATGAGAGGATTGTGTTCCAGGAGGTAATGCCGGAAAGGCCTCTAGAACTCTTAAGAGAGTTGAGGAGCAATGCAAGCTCCCACAGGGAAGGATGGGTTTCCATTGGCCAAAACCAAGCTCCACCAGTCTCTGGGCAGGGTCGCACCTAGCTTACCTACTTGCTGTCTAGTTGCACAAGCTGGGAGATAGAGTAACCTGACTGATGTCAGGGTGGAAACAGTGAGTAGTCTTTTTCTTTCAGTTAATTTACAAATTCCTATTTTTCTGTATAGCTGTTGTGTCCCCCAAGTATGTATCTCAACATCATCTGCAGTAGCCTTTGTTTAAAAAAAGATTAACCTGTTATAAAAAGGAGTTCACAACACAAAGATAAAATTGCAGACAAGCTTGTAAACATCATGATGGAAGCATTTGTTTTAAGCCTCAGAAGCCAGAAGGCTGGTGGGAAAAGAAGCACATTTTTAAAACTCTTATTTCTGTGCATATTTAATGGTTGAACCAGTGTTTTCATCATGGGTTTTGCAGTTCCAGAGTAGAAATATTATGCATTTTAATATATCTACCAAGCTGACAGTGATCTGCAGAGTAATAAAAATGTTGGTGATAAACTAAACATTATGTCTCGTCCAACATTTGCCAAAGGAAAATAGACACACTTGTTTTATGTTAAGTGAACAAGGAGATCATTATTTGGCACTGAGCATGTCTACAAAGGAAGTCCCTCCCAGGGCTTTGGTGTCATACAAAAAAAAATTAAAGATAATTTCATAATGTACATTTCCTTGCAGCCCACAAAGGACATTCTTCCATTCATATATTGTACATTTTATCAGCATATGATTCTATCCCAAAATATAGTCCTTTTAATTTTAAAAATAAAATCAGTCCATACTAGCAAAGGATTAGATCCAAACAGGTTTTCTGCTAGGAGGATGATATATACTTTTCCACCAAAAAAGACTATGCTGAGAATCATGGGACCTGTATGTAGGATAGCCCTTGTGGGGTGTGAGTTATATTACAGAAGGGAATTGGATGAGATTGTGTGAAGAAGCTGGCTGGATCTAGCCCAAAATTGTGATTCCCACGTCCTCAGCAAGATACAGCTATCAGGTATGTGCCAAAATTTAGCACATGCAAGTGGCTTAGATCCTAGAGAGGATTTCCATGGATGGAAGAGGACAATTTTTACTGATTTCCCTCTTTTTGCTGCAGACCTCTGACCCCTCTATTCCACACTGTTCTTGGTATTTTGGGCTGCGGCAGAAGAGATCTGTGCTCCATGGATGGAAATCCCTTCTATCCATGAAAATTGTCCATGGGATTCAAACTAGTCTCTTCTATACATTGAAAAAATATAGAGACACATTTACAATATTAGCAACTCTGTAATCAGAATTTTCCTCTATCCAAAGCTAGCTCTACAGTTTCAGTTTCATGTGTGAATGTATCATTATCACTGAATTAAGAAAAAACCCATAGTCTATGGCATTGAGACAAGATCACACTGTCAGCAATCTTTATGTTCATACTATATAGCCCATTATCAAACTGTAGGAGTACTCCTCTCCTGACATATGGGCTTCATTTTAACCACATTTTGCAGAAGTCAGAATGGCTGAGCGTCAAAGGTCAGATTTGTATGAACAGAACTGATCCACAGTGATGTATTTTTTGTGTCATAGAAAGGCACAGATTGATCACTGGATTTTCCCTTAAGGCTGCTTACATGTTTGATTATTGCTCACTAGAGTTGCAGCATATCATTTCTCCTTAGAATTTAGTTAAAAAATAAAGAAAACAAACACAAACTTCAGAATATGGCAGTTTTGTGGACACAAGGGTGCTTGTTAGGTGTACAACAAAACTGATTGCATCCACAATCTTAACAATACTACTGGCAGTGAAGGACTGTTGTGTACTCAGAGAATAAAACTGTTCTATCATGGTTAGGGTTGCCAACCTCCTGCTATTACAATTGATCTCCAGACAATTAAGATCAGAGCCCCTGGAGAAAATGGCTGCTTTGGAAAGTGGACTCTGTGACATTATATCCTGCTGAGGTCCCTCCCCTCCCCAAACCCCGCCCCCCAGGCTCTACCCCCAAAATCTCCAGGTATTTCCTAACCCACAGCTGGTGTACTTAAAGGATTAGATTACAAAATCAGAATTGTCAGTATGGTGAATTTAAACATAACCATGGTCTAAAAACCTGTGATTCAGTAATGGGGTCTGAGAGCCAAACTAGATGTGAAAGTGTTCCCAAGCCCACCATGGGATACCTCCACAATTTTAGGGATGAAATTCCCTCTGTTTCGAAGGCAAAGAAAAGGGAACAGAAGCCTCCCCCAGCCCCACCCCACAGTCCTGATCAGGGGGAATTTCATCCTTAAACAGAGGGAATTTCATCCCTAAAATGGCAGAGGCATCCCCATGGTACACGCGGAGATGCTGACACATTTAGTTTGGCTCTCAGGGAACTCTTTAATAATTTCTCTCACTTCCTGCCACATTTTTAATTAAAATACTGTATAGTATACCATTCCTGAATTTTGTGTCTTTTGATACTCTCAAATGGTTACAAAATATTCCTCACAGTATTTAACATCAAAACCTTTAAAACATTTCCAAATAAAATAAAGGTACTAATAAGCCCTACTTTCTAGCAAGCATTCTAGCTAATGTTTTCAAGTAATTTATCCCCCTCCCCAGCTTAATGCTAAAATAGTCTGCTGGGACCAGTTCACTTGAAATAATGCAGCGTTTGTAAAGTGAAGTAGGGAAAACAAATTACCATCCAGCTTCCCCTACTTAAAATGTTCTTTTGTAATGCCTTTGAATGTTTTTCTTTGATATGATTTTTCCCTTTTAATGCTTTGAAAGTCTCCTGCTATTTTCAAGCAAGAGCTCCTTATTTTGGCAAAACTGAACGTGCAGGAAGCCATGTCTAGGGAGAGGGGTATCATGGGATTTTGTGAAACAATGAACTATCTAATGGTACCTTAACTATACGGCAATAAATCTGTTGACTTTTAAGGTGGAAAAAGATTCTTGTGTTTTGCTACTGTAATGAAACATGGTTTTGAGCAGCCTTCCCTGTGTGACCATGCCACTGTTAATCCTGTGAATTCCTGTTAGGCAGAGAAGAGAGAACTGGGGAATCAGCACAGACTGTGCAGAGGTGCTTTCTGGGTAGCAGTGGCAAGCCCGTAGCCAGGATTTATAAATTCGAGGGGCCTTTAAATAAGTCAGGGGGCACCTCGCACAGACACCTCCCCCTCAAAAGGAAGAACCACAAATAAAATAAAAAATTGGAAGGCCAAACCAGATGAGCACTGGGAGCACCAGACATGGCACTGCCAGCCAGGGCTGGTTACTAGTTCTGATGGGACCGAGGCAGAAAGTTTCCAGGTCTCCTCTTCTACCCACAACCAGGTCTCCTCACACATGCCCTCCTTCCCTTTCCCCCACCTATATGCCTCCCACTTGCTTGTGTGTCTTCCCCTGCCTACATGTGAACTCTCCCACTGCCCATGCTCACCACTACCTGTAGCCCTTTTCCCAGTGGCACTGGGCAGTGAGTGTAGCTGGAGTATGGTGGAGAGCTAGCAAATAAGTGGTGGGTGGGGTGAGAGCAGTGGGCTCCGCCAGAAGCCCTGGGTTCTGGCAGCTGCCCCATTTCAGGTTGTGCTGATGCCAGTCCGGTTCCCAGCAATTGTAAAAATGCAATTTACAGGTGTGCAGGGTCAGGGCGCCTTTGAAAGTTTAAACCTTCCCCCCCAACCACCATTTTCTGTACCTGGAACAGCCCCAGGGAGCTGCTGTATGAGAATAAACATTTACCCCTGTCCTGCATATAATGGTTCCAATCTGAATTGGGCCCCTGTGCACCTAATAATGGACTTTTTAAAATCACTGGGGGGGGACTCCAGATATGGAATTCCCAGTGCAAATATGGTTTGATCCAACTCTAATGCCAGCTTAACAGTGGTAGTAAAGATCATACTGGCTTGCTGTCCTTGTGGTGTATGGTGTTTTATTTGTCACTGGTCTATGATATCGTTCATTATAATTTTTCTTTATGCCGTTTTAGGGTGAACCTGGTGTAATTGGAGAGAGAGGACTTCCTGGGCTTAAGGTTAGTGAAGAAAATCCTGATTAATTTACCTTATTTGTGTGTATAAAACAATGGGTTTGATCTCATTTTTCAACATAACAATAACCTGTGTGGCAGAATGCTGAGAACAACTTCTCCTACTGAGTTTTTTAGTTGAATCCAAGTCTGCAGCATCCACACCCAACACTCAACTCACTTTTGTTGTTCAGTCGCACAGTCGAGTCCGACTCTTCGCGACCCCATGGACCAGATCACGCCAGGCCTTCCTGTCTTCCGCCGTCCTCTGAAGTTTGCTCAATTTCATGTCCGTTGCATCTATGACACTGTCTAACCATCTCATCCTTTGCCGTCCCCGTCTTCTTTGACCTTCAATCTTTCCCAGCATCAGGGTCTTCTCCAGTGAGTGCTCCCTGCTCATTTGGTGGCCAAAGTATTTGAGCTTCAGCTTCATTATCTGGCCTTCCAGGGAACAGTCAGGGTTGATTTCTTTTAGGATTGACTGATTTGATCTTCTTGCAGTCCAAGGGACTCTCAAGGGTCTTCTCCAGCACCATAGTTCAAAAGAATCTATTCTTCGGCGCTCAGCTTTCCTTATAGTCTAACTCTCGCAGCCATACATGACTACTGGGAATACTATTGCTTTGACCATGCAGACTATTCTACCCTATATTGTATGCTGCCTGGGTTGGATCAAAATATACCCTTACACGTGTACGATATAAAAAGCTCCTTCAGACCTTGAGCTAGAGTATGCTAGTCTAAGCTGGCAGGAGTACCGTGCAAGGACTAAAATGAAACTGGGGCTTAGTTTGACCAAGAAAAGTGGCCTGGTGCATTCTTCTGCTGCTCATGCACAATTTCAGTTAATGGCGTAGCTTGACCTTGTGTGATTGCATCAGCTGTGCCAATGTCTTTCAAACGCACATTTGTCTCTCAACAGAATATGTGTGCCCTGTTGCTATTGACAGCTAATCAGGAAAAATGTTAAAAGTATTGGCTTGCTCTTTGTTCATCAGGAAAGAACATAGGCCTTTGGGGAACCATCATTTCTCACTTTAGAATCTAAATGATGACACTTAATGCTTAATTAGTTTCCACAGCACTGTATTTTAGAATTGCCAAGAAATCAATAGCCATCAAATGGGATTTGAATGAGGTAAAGTAACTAAACTTGTGCAAGATGAGCTGTCAAAGTTGTGTTTTGAGAATGAAACATTGCTTATCAATGTGCTAGTCAGTAATTTAAACAGCAACAATTTAAAACTTTCTTTCATTAGATTCTGAGGATCCTGAGCTGTGCACCAGATTTGAAAACATGAATAGAAATTAAACAATTTAATCTGGGCCACCACGCACTGTTTTAGAATCCTAAACTACCCACATGTTCATCAGTCCGTTCCTCCAAAATACAAAAGGCTTACTTTTCTGTCCTTGTTCCTCATACCGTCTGTTTATTGATCAATCAAGTTTTATTGCATGTGCAATATTACTAATAAAATCAGTCCTATATCAATCAAAGAAATCCTCTCTCTAGATTGCACATTAACAGCTAGGACCACCCCTGCGGTGATTCTGTGTGTCCAATGCCACATCCCAGTCTAGACGTGGTTATTGTGTTGTGCCAACGAATGGGGGAATTGCTCCACTACATCTGAGGTGTTTTTTTTGTTCCCTAGCAATTGATGGGCTAGGAAGCAAAAGCAGCATCTGTGTTTAAGTGAGAGGAGGAATGATGGGAGAATGTTCTGGTTGCATTGGACAGATGGGGGGAAAACAGGTGGAAGCCGTCTGGCTTCATAGAAAGAAGAGGCTATGGCCTCATTCAAACGTCATAAACAAACCTCTGTTTTTCTGAGATAGGCCAAGATATAACTTGTTCTCATGCTTGAATGCTCCTTCCCACCTCCCCTCCCACATACGGCGTGGTTGAAAGCTTCCTAGTTTGTGATGCCATTGATCAAATTCTGATTTGTTGTGAATGTAGGCACCTGAACATATTGGAGTTGGTTTCATCCTCATACGGTTTAGAATTCCAGTTTTGGGGAGATTCAAGTACCCTTTGAATGAAGGCTTTGCAAGCCTGGAAACTTTCAGTGATGTTCTGAGCAAAAAGGAAGAAGGGGGATGGCAGGTGTGAGGGAGCATTTCAGCATGACTAACTGATTAATATAGGGTGGGTGTGAGGAATAGCTAAAGATCCCCCTTTTTGCTGGCCCTGCACAATAGCTAAGAGAGGCTGAGATGTGCCTGGGAAAACATGGAATAGCTGTAGAGCCAGGGCCAGCATGTGGGGCAAGTTTCCACAAGGCCAACTCTCTTGTTGGGCCTGTTAGTATGCCATATATAGAAAGTATATGTCTTATTGATATATGCTGTGTTTCTGTCCATCACAGGCCTTGATGTAACTTATCTCACTCTAAACATTTGAAAGAACAGGTTAAGATGTTTATTATCATCAGAACTATAGATGGAGGGAGTGTGTGGAGGTGGAAGTTCAAGGTCCGAGACTTCTAGGATTCAGGATTCATGCAAACAGTTATAAATGGTTCCTGAGCTCTTTCCATATCAAGTGTATAGGGTGAATGCATGCAGGACCAAGTATGCCAGCCCAGATCTTTCTTATGTGCATATGTTGCATGTGTGCACAGATATATCCATATAAACCATGACCCTGAGGTCAGGAAGGAATATAGAATAGGAAGTGGGTTCATTTGGGACCAGTGCTTTCCCCCTTCTTCTGCTATGCACATTGGCCTGTACACTGATACATTAATAGGGCTAGAGAAACAGATAAGCAAGGACAAGGTCTGTAAACCTACCTGCATTGTTCCAAAAGACCAGACAGCTTGTTAGGGAACTGACTGACACCATCAATAAGACGTCTGTAAACCTACCTGCATTGTTCCAAAAAACCAGACAGCTTGTTAGGGAACTGACACCATCAATAAGAGGTATTGAAAGACACAAGTTTCAGTGACATTGTCAACGAACTGAAATATAAAGGTACTAGGAAAAAGGTCTGCTGTGGAAATAAATACAACGGTCTCTAGAAAGAGGCTATGGGCGGGTGCCCCGGCCTTGGACACTCAGTGTCAATTTGCTGTGGCGACCTCAGCAGGGTATAGACACTGAGTCCACCATTTTCTCCAGAGGAACTGATCTCTGCTACCTAAAGAACAGTTGTAATTTTGAGTGATCTCCAGCCCTCACCTGGAGATTGGCAATGATGGTTCCCCAGAAGGGAATTGTTGGTTTGGAGGGTGGAGTCTATGGCTTTGTACCTGTCCGAGGTCCCACGCCTCCTGAAACCTCACCCTCTCCAGGCTCCATCCTTCACATCTCCAGGAATTTCCCACCTGGAGTTGGCAACCCTATCTCCTTCCCAGCCAATCATCAACCTACTTT